CACACTCTCACTCTCTCTCTCTCTTCCTGCGAGATCTCACCTTGCATTGTAACTGAACTCAACTTTTTTCTGAAGTTTTATCAGGGCAACATCATAATCATAGAATTCAGGGATTCCGCGATCTGCCAGTTTTCCGATCTTATATTCTGGGTGGAGTAGAATGTTTTCCACAGTATAATCTTGCTTGGCTAGGAAAGAGGAAAGTAAAACATAGACTTTCTGCTGTCTTGGGCTACATAGCTTATCGCCACATGGTGGGACCATCAGCTGACCCCTGCGGCCCATTTGGTTACTCTGAAACAGAAAGGCAGGCGTGTTTCTTTTCTCCTGGCCAGCTGGCCACCCTACTGTCAGCCTCCACAAAGTTTTCTTGACATCTTTTGCTGCCTTGTCGGCTGCCATAGAAACGGAGGGAGTGATAATTTGGTATTTGGGAGGGGAAGGCTGCTGGGGAGTGAAGACGTTTTCTGTGTGAACTAAAAAGGAGGGGATGCTTCCTTGCTTACTGCGCAACTGCATAGACTTTACTAAGCCGTGGTCAACCCTCTTGGCATACCAGATGAGTGAGAAACCACCTGAAGATGTACCCCACAGGACATTATACACACCGCAGATTGGATGACCAGTCTGGACTCTTGGGGGAAGGAACTTGGGATAACTTTCCAATATGTTATTTCCACGCTTATTTGCCTCAGGTCCTGCTTGTCTTTTGTTGCTACCACTTCAAACTCAGTAAAAAAAAAAAATACTTTTCTCTATTTTAATGGAGTTGAAGGATTTCTTTCTTCGGTTTTGAATGAAGCACAGCTGACTACACTGCCAGCTTCCTCTCAAAAGATCACTGTGCTTACTGCTTACCGATTGTGACTCTGATCTGGTCAGCCGTATCGTCGATAGTGAAACAGTGAGCTGCTGTCAAGATAAAATACTCAGAAACGAGGGTTCCTTTGCAGTTGTCGAACCCTGCCCCACCAGAACGCTGTGATTGGAAGAGAAAAATCACCATGATTAAGTCACAAAAGCATCCTACATAGATTTCCTTGGACATAATTCCCAATGCATTCAATAGGATTTATTTGTTATTCAACATTAACGGAAGCGTGTGTATTATTACCATAGCAATAGCACTTAGAATCTGCCAACACAGTGATTTACAATGGAGGGTCCCCCACCTGTGGGCCGTGGTCTACCCAGCTATTCATAACTGGGCTGCGTGACCAGTGGGCATTGTCACTCACAACCCCATTAGTGTGAGCAGCAGGCGTGTGCACCATGAATGGGGCTGCAGGCGCCGGTACCCACTGCAAGCATGTACGAGGCTGCAAGTTGCATCTCCTCCCCCACCCCATGCCAGGCCACCAACCCAGAAAGGTTGGGGGGACACTGCTTTACGACTCTCAGGATGGTCTACAACATCAGTATATTGCCCCAAGAATCTGGGTCCTTATTTTACCAACTTTGGGAGGATGGAAGGCTGAGTCAACCTTGAGTCCGTCACGATCGAATTCCTGGCAGTGGGAAGAGTTAGCCTGCAATACTGCAGTCTAACCATCGCACCACCATCCTCCTATAAGTGATATTAGATAAACCTACCGTGTTTCTCATATAATAAGGCCGGGTCTTTTTTTTTTTT